AGAGCTTATGATGCTGAGGCGCGAAGGATCAGAGGCAAGAAAGCTAAGGTGAACTTTCCTGATGAAGCTCCAGTGTCTGTTTCAAGACGTGCTATTAAGCAAAATCCCCAAAAGGCACTTCGTGAGGAAACCCTGAACACAGTTCAGCCCAACATGACTTATATTAGTAACTTGGATGGTGGATCTGATGATTCGTTCAGTTTTTTCGAAGAGAAACCAGCAACCAAGCAGTACGGCTTCGAGAATGTGTCTTTTACTGCTGTAGATATGGGACTGGGCTCAGTTTCCCCTTCAGCTGGTACAAATGTTTACTTCAGCTCTGATGAAGCAAGTAACACTTTTGACTGCTCTGATTTCGGTTGGGCTGAACCGTGTGCAAGGACTCCAGAGATCTCATCTGTTCTGTCGGAAGTTCTGGAAACCAATGAGACTCATTTTGATGATGATTCCAGACCAGAGAAAAAACTGAAGTCCTGTTCCAGCACTTCATTGACAGTTGACGGTAACACTGTGAACACGCTATCTGAAGAGCTATCGGCTTTTGAATCCCAGATGAAGTTCTTGCAGATCCCATATCTCGAGGGAAATTGGGATGCATCGGTTGATGCCTTCCTCAATACAAGTGCAATTCAGGATGGTGGAAACGCCATGGACCTTTGGTCCTTCGATGATGTACCTTCTTTAATGGGAGGTGCCTACTAAGCTGCATACACATCTTCCCTTGCTAAGTTTTGTAAATAACGCTTCATTTGAGTGAAGTTTGCGCCTGCGTTTACGTTTATCACCAAACTAAAAGACTATATATGTGTTGTATTAATTTATTCAAAATTTACTCGTTTGATATATGTAAGTATGTATCCTTGTTTTCATAAGTCAATGTCTTATTTTCTTACAGTCACAAAGCATATGCCTTTCGCCTCTGTTAATGCGTTGGCGAAGGTAAAACTAACAGATTTTGAATTTTGCATTTTACTGATACATGATGATTAACTAAATTGTATTGTTTAATTTACAATTGTAAGTTGCTGATGGATCATTCTCTTAACAATCTTGTGCTTAAGCTTATCAGAAACAGTCATTAAGTTAGGTAAGCTAGACTGTCACAAGCTTTTGTGCATTATTGATCAATAATGTCAATTCGCCAGAATTTGTGGCAACATTATATTCACTTTGATTCATTTCATTTCATGTGATATTTTGTAGATTTTGAAATTCAAATAGTTTATCGTAATAAGTTTCACGCGTCTTATCATTTTTTCTTCGAAAATTTCGTATTAAATCAAAATCACTCTGCTATATAAATTAAGACGGAAGGTGTATTATTAAGTGGAATACGTACTGCCCTTTGAGATCATAAAGAGTTGTGCCAACTCCAGGAAAGATGATGAGCCGACTGATTTTAATTTATCTTATTTAATTGTTTAGCAATTGAAACTTGTTAATCCAACTAATTTAAAATGGTATCGTCGAGAATTCATTACAAAGAAAAGTTTTCTCAATTTGTTAGAGTCAGTGGAGCTAGAAATATTGAGGGGATAAATATAAATAAGTAAACACAAAGAAATAAGAAATTCGATATTAACTATATATTATTAAAAATAATATCGATTATATATATAAAAAATAATAGTAATTTATATTTAATCATATATCATACTTGAGTAATATGTGAGGGTAAATGAGACAATTTATCCATAGGGGTATAATTGGAAAGGGGAAGGCGGCTTATGGCTAGTGGTGATAGTGGGGTCTAATTTGTTTGGAGATGTGCCCCAAGTGGAAGGTTCAGTTAATCATTTTTTTTTGTTTTTTTCATTTAATATATGTGTAATATCTTAGGCCTAACTCTCGTCGTAAAAGCTAGTTCTTAGGGCGTGAGTTAAGTTTAAAATTTAATTTTTTACATAGTATTAGAGGAGTACGTCTTCTTCGATATTGAGATACTCAAAATCAAAATTATCCATACATGAGATGCTAAGCAAGGAGCATGAGGTGGGTGTAAAAGAATAACTAAAAATCTTACATCGATAGTTAATGAAACGTGTGAAGTCTTTCCCTTTAAGTTAACTTTTGAAATGTAAATTAGACCCAAGCTACTTTAACAAATTGTATTGAAATTGATTTTTTTGAACTTATATTGCTTTAATTAAGATATTATCTAGCGAAAACACTCTTCTAAAAATTGTTTTAAAATTCAAATTTTAGTTCTCCAATTAAGAGAAAGAACAGACTCATCCGATAGATGATGGTGCATCACTGCTTGCTTATTCATTTGGTGGATTAGACAGAGAAAAGGTGCTTTATTTTTATTTTTATTTTAAATTGGTAACAAAAAAGGTGTCTTATTTGTTGTCAATTGTCATGGAAGAATAAATATCCCTTTTACTTCCATTCTTATCTTACTACGCGGAGTATGTCGACATATAATTTTCATTGAAAAATAATGTAATATTTTAATTCTAATTTCTTATTCTTAATAAAATTATTTTATAGTTATGAAAATGATTATGATTTATTTATGTGTATATTTTAAAAAGATATCTTATAAAAAATTTGCAGAGTCAAATATCGATACGATATTTCCTTCCTATAACGTAACTTTAACATTAAAATACATTTCAATATAAATTTTAAATATTTTTTATATTTTAATATAAGTTTCAAGACATCCGATTGATTTTAAAAATTATAATACAGAGAAGTTTTTTTATTATCGTTGATCGAGGTACAATGCACACCAACAGAGTGGATCTATAAAAAATAAATCCGCCCAGCAGGAATCAATCCCACATGTAATTGGACCAAAGTTCTTCAGGTCCTTCGTCGTCATTGAATCAAGGGATAATTTTATATAATAAGCAAACTAATAACATAAAATAAATGAAGTAGCTAGAATTTGATTTAATTTTGCTCAATAGTAAATATTTGTCAAAATTTATATTTGTCAAATTTCGTCAGTCGCCTCTCTCAAAAATCTCGCTTGCCACTCTCCCATTTTCGCTCCAAGCTCTCGCTCGCTTCCTCACTTTTTATACAAACACAACTATATAAAAATTGTTTCTACTTATATAAAGCAGAGAAAATTGTATAAATACATATATTTTTGTTCCCCTTTCTCCCCTCTTCCAGATCTCGCTCGCAACCCTCGCCTTTCTCACTTATACAAACAGAAGCGAAATGTATAAATTGCGTTTCTGTTTTGTATAAAGCGTGAGAAACTTGTATATATACATGCAAATACATATATTTTCGTCCTATACACTTATAATTATACAATAAAAGTACTCTCATGCCCAGTTTCTTTTGCCTTTCTCTCTTTCTCATTTTATACAAATTCAAATTGTATCTAATTTCTCTCTTTTTCGTTTTATACAATTCGATTCAATTTTATATTTCCTGTCCAAGTCTCTTTTATCTTTCTCTTTTTCATATTATACAAATTCAAATTGTATATAATCGCTCTATACACTTATAATCATACAATTCGTTTTATACACTTCGTTTATACAATTCTCTGCCCCAAGTGTCTTTCTCTTTCTCGTTTTATACACTTTGTTTTATATAATTCGCTTCAATTGTATATGTATAGCGAATTATACAGTTTCTATGTTTGTTATGGAGCGCAATTATGCGAACTTTGCTATAACATACAAATATAAATTTTTATTTGCTATATGTGAAAGTTGCCCTTGAATTAATCATATACATAAGAATCATCTAAAACATCTGGAATTTGGTACACATTATTCATTTTATTTTTAAATTATTGTTCATTTTAAAAATTATTTTCTGTTTGATAAATAATTTTAAACTTTGATTGAAATTGTTGTAACAATACTGAATTTTGGAAAAGATCTTTTATCTCAACGCATATTTAATAGTATATTTTAAAAGCATATATGTGTCCCATGAACATCATAAATATTGCACATCATTATAAATAAAAACGTGTCCACGTGACACTTATATATCTTTAAAATACACTATTATGTCTTTTATAAAGTTTGGTACCGTAACAATAATTTTGGCCAAAGTTAGAATATTTCATAAAAGACCATGTTCCCTTAATTACACTTGAGTACATCTAAATTTACTAGATGACATAACAAATGATTTCAAACTCTTATAAGAACATGAGATCTGAATCAAAAAAAAATTGAGAGAAAAGTTGAAAACATCTCTAAATTTACCCTAATTTACCACATACATAACTAGTGATCTCAAACTCTTATAAGAACAAGTGACTCTAAATAAAAAACTGAAAGAAGTACGAAAAACACCTTAAACTTAATGAGAATTTAGAAGTATAATTTACTCATATTTATGAGATGAGAATATATTTAAATTTAATTAATCAAGTAAACAAATATTTATAATATTAATAATAATCTAAAAATATAATTAAATAATTCCCACTAAATTTAGAAATACTTTAAATACTTCCTTTGATAATTAAAATAAAACGCAAGGAGTATTACCTAGTCCACCCCTCATCAACCATTACACAAGAGTTTTTATCTTATCTAATGACGTGTTTCTAACAAAAAGATAACTAATTCTCCTACAAATTCGGGCTTCCCACTATCCATGTGAGGTGTTCACTTTATTTTTTCTTCGTACAATAATATAATTCAAAATATTATAATTTTTAAAAAACAAAAAATTCAAATAAACTTATCTTATATTCTAAATTTGTTGCGAGTTTAACTAAAATATGAGATCCAAATAAATTAAAGAATGCACCACTCATAGAATCACTGAAAGAGAGCCATATTAGGTGGATATCCCCAGCCATCAAAATCATCTATAAAAAGCCTAGTAACACCATAATATAAGATTAATTAAATTAATTTCATCTACTAATTTTTAATTTGTCTAATAAATTACCTCTCTCTTTGTAAACTTGTAACAGTCGCATTCTGGTGGTGTCCACCCCGCCTAACAATATATTCAGACGTTTAGCATCACCTCAATTACGGTTGTTACAAATTAAATAAAAAAAATTACGAAAAGAAAAAAGAAAAAAAAATTTAAGTTACTAATTAAGAGTTTTTGTTTTTTTTAATTCAAATCATTTGTGTTTTTTCATTAATTGATTGATAATGGGTTTTCTTCACAAGCTATGGGACGATACACTTGCCGGCCCGGCACCGGAATCGGGGTTAGGAAAACTCCGCAAGTATAATTCGTTCGCCGGACGTTCTACCTGCAGTGCTCCGCCGTCTCCCACCAAGCTCGGCCTTCACCATCACGGCGGCGGCGCTAGTGACGATCTGATGCCGGTCTCCCGGAGCATTACGATACTCCGTAGCAACTCAACCTGTGGCCGTTCTGGCAATTCTACGCCGGATTCTGGATCTGCTCCATCTTCTCCGGCGTTTTCTAGCGCTCCAAATTCACCATTTGCACGTTAGTCCTCTTTCGACAATTAATTCTACTTTTTTTTTCTTTAAGAAATATCATAAACATGTCTTTAAAATCTCAAATTATAGATGTGCATAAGTTGAATACAATATAAGCTAAAATTAAATTCTTGAAACTTTCATGTTGGTAAGTAAAGAGTTTATCTTCTGAGTCGAGTTCGTCACAATAGCTTGCCTACTGCGGATTATCTCTTCTGTGTGACTTGTGAGCAATTACATAAAAGTATAGATTTTACGTGTATACAAAAATAGTAATTTGTGAATTTTCTTTGTTATTAAATAAAAAATAAAACTAAATTAACGTATATATGTTCTTAAATTTGTTCCTTGACCCTAATTTCTTTGAATATTCTCTGACATAAAATTTATTCAATTTATACTTAAAATCTGTAATTCGAGATAATTTATTAACGATAAAGGATAAGAATGACTATATTATAATTGAGGTTAACATTTAAATATTTTGTATACTAATTATAGAAGCAAATATAATTTTTTTTTAATAAAATAAATTTAAAACATAAGATGTTTGATGTCTGATATATATTTTTTTTATTGGATTTTCATATAGCAAGCACGCCACGGAGGAAATACAAGAAGCAATTAAAGGGAAAAGCGAATATTGAACCTTGTTCTGCCAACTATGATTGGTGAATTTTATTAATCGTTGACTCGCACGGATCAATAATTTATTTATCAACTCGGTCATTTTGTTTCATTCAAAGTCAATTAAATCGGCGCATTTTTTCATATAACTTAGTAATTGACTTTTTGTATTTGCAGGATTGTGCTGAGTGCTTGGGATCGTTGACGAGAGAAACAGAAAAACAAACTATTATTTTTGTGTGAAGAAATGACTGCTGCAATGTTGTGCATATATAAATATATTATATAAATATAATTAAGAGTAATATGTACATATTAATTAGTGTATATAACCAAATAATAAAAATAAGAAGGTTCCAGAGTAGTGTAGGAATCTTCACATCAAATAGATGATGATAATTATGTTAATATCAGGGAGAGAGAAACTACAAGTAGGAGATTTTAAAGTAATTTTTTTTTACTATAAGCTGCTTCCTCCATCTGTTTGGAGTGATGCTTTTTTAATTTTTTTTGTTTGTTTTTATAATATGGTCGTGAGTTTGATGTACTCCAACTTAATAATGTTCTTTCAAAAAATACTTGAATGAAGCTCTAGTTTAGTTAATATATTGTTGTAGTTATCTCTTCTTTTTTTCCCTTTTGTTGTGTATATAAAATGGGGTATGGCTCTTATAAATGATTGATTTAACTCTTGATAAACTGATATGAGTTGTGGTGGAATGATTGAGATTCTCTTTGATCTAATTAAAGTTGTCAATTTTAAACCCTTGAGAATGAAATGCGTAGATTCAAATTGAGACGTTGAGATATTAAACATCGAATAGGAAGCTAAACAGATGGAGGAAGCAGCTTATAAGAATGAAACGCGCGCACACACAAAAAAAAATGTTACGAATTTGAAACTTTGATTACTTTATTTTCATTGATTAATTGATTAACCAAAGGAGATGTTTGTACTTTATTTTGACTTATATATTTCTATATGTGTAATGTGTTAGTACGTAAATTGACACCTTTTTGAATTATCGAAATCATAATACTCTATTATACAAGTACATATTAATTGAACTTGAACAAACTATGGTTACCAATTTACCGTTCCATAGAATACCAAAACCGAAGCTCAAAATGCCAAACAATACTAATCAAATTGTTATGGTAATGGAATAATATTTTAAAAATCGAACACCAAAATTATGTTATTCAAAATTTAAATACCGTACCATATCATACCATGTTCATTCATCTAAATTTGTCATTTTCGAAAAGAGATTATATGGATATAGATATATAATTTAGATACGATAAAAGGTAATCAAATGGGGATGTAGCTCAAATGGTAGAGCGCTCGCTTTGCATGCGAGAGGCACGGGGTTCGATCCCCCGCATCTCCACTTTTCAGTGCTACTTCTTTTTCAGATTTAACCCAAATTTGTTTCTGTTTACATTTTATGTATCTAATATGTCATTACATGTTAGAATTTACCTAATTTTCTTTTACATTATCAAAATATATACATGTATATCTTAAATTCGAGAAATATACGACTCAGTTTCTTTGTGTCTATAAGTTTGAAATTCAAGTATTGGAAATTATCCACAATCACTTGTGTATTTTATAAGTTTGAAATTCAAGTTTTGAGAATTATCCACAATCACTTGTGTATTTTTGTAACGACATTATATTTGATCAGGTATAAGACATGAGTTTGACTAAAAGAAATCAATAAATTAAATAAATTCACTATTTATATATAAAAAAAAATGAGATTTCAATAACATGTCAATCAAGAGAGAAGGTTTTTGAGAAAAATAATGATAATTCAGTAATTATATTTTTCATTAGAAAACAAAAATGATTTTTATAGACAATATTTGGATGACCATCCACGAAATTAACTTCACTTTTAACCTGTACTGAGGATTGATTTAGCTTGTAACATATACTTTCTTTACAATTATATATCTATAAGTGAGATGACAATTTTTTTTAAAAATTCTACTCAACTTACGTAAGCAATCAATATTTAAAGATAAGTGCTAAGTAAATCTTTTCACTAAACTTACATTTTAGATAATCATACCTAGGTATTTCCAAAAAATGTGTTTAATATGTATCTTTTCTAGTACATGTACCATGGTTTAATTCTACATATTTGTTATCTTTCCTAATTCATGAACAAACTAAATAAGACATATGAGTAATCAATTTCCTATACATATATCAAATACAATTCATGTATCACAACATATATTTTTATTCTAACATAGGGTTATTTCTTAACGTTGTAAAATTTGATGAAGTATGATCACATAAATTTTCTTCTGACTTGAGGTGGTTATGAATAATATAGTATGCAAGGATATTTTATCTTTATGTATTTGCATTTCTTTTAATTTAATAAGCTTCTCTAATACTTCTATAAAGCATAAGCTTAGTGGCAAAAGTTATGACATATAATATAAGTTAAAAAAAGTTTTAAAAAAGTCTTGCTCTTAGTGGCCATAAACCATGCCCAACTCTCTCGTCTCATGAATACATCACTTTACGCTAAGTATCAGAACACAAGCAATATATAAAGACGCTAAATTATTATTTAAAATTGAATCACGATATATTAGAATGTTAAACGATATATTCGAAATCAGAACATTTTGGAATGTATCTGAATTCTACTAAATTTAAGAGAATTTTGTGATTTGAAAAAGGATAAGGATAAAATTTAATTGAGAAAAGGTAGTAGTATCCTCCAAAACTATGATCGAAATCACAGAGACACACCTTAACTAAACTAAGACCCTATTACCCCTTGACCCCATTTTTGTGTAATTTTGTTCATTTTTTTTATTTACGTTACATCCAAATATCTCTCACACGCCTCAATTGTGTGGAGAAGTCACAGAGTGTGTCACATAAGATAAAAGGTGTACAAAATAAGAAAAAAATAAGTTCAGAAGAATAATATAAAAATCTTAGTTTAATTAAAATGCTTTTCTAGAATTTCGACCATAGTCTATAGTCTAGAGGTACATTAACGCCGTGAAATTTCTGAAAAATCCGTTTGTTATTATATTTAGATGGGACATGTACATCAAAGAGGTCCAAGCCCATTTATCTTGTATCAACGAACCAACTGGATCGACCCGGCCCCATTCTACCTTACCGAGAATCTCTCTCAACACAACAAAAGCAACACCCCCTCTTACGTAGACTAATCACAACCCTCCACGTGTCATCATCCCAATACCCTCTCCCTTCCCCTCCCCCCACCACCTTCCCCATTGCTACGTACCTGAGAATTGAACGTTTAACTTGATCACCACACAAAAGTCACCATTGTTGACAATTACAAGGTGAACGAGGAGGAGTAGATTCCTCCTCATTCATCCATCAAACCATCGTCACAACACTATTCGTTTCATAAAAGGGAAGAATTATGTCGTATCCATTATCGTCTCATATGTCAAATGATGGAGTTGATTCGTTAATATTACCGTCTGCGGAGCAATTTCAAAGGGTGCGGCAATCAAAAGGAAACCTGGAGCTGAATAATGAGTTGAAAATAAAAGCAAATGAACTTGAAAAGCTTTTCGCTGAGCATCAATTGCGTACTCCTCCTGCAGCTGGAAATTATCAATCTAATTATTTTACCAGCAGCAAAATTAGTAGGCACGGTCACATGCAAAGCTGTCCATCTGACAATGCCGGCGGCGACTTTCTCGATGATCAAGTATTTGATAATGATAGTATGAATATAGATAAAAACTCTTATGATCATGAGTTGATTGGTTTTGCGGGTTCTCCGGGGAAATTCTATGATATGTATATGAAGAAAAGGGATGCGAAACTTAGAGATGAATGGAATACTAAAGGAGCGGAGAAGGAAGCGAAGCTGAGGGCTATGGAGGATTGTCTTGAGAGGAGTACAGCTCAAATGAAGAGTATTGAGAGACGCAGATCGTTTAGCTCCAGCTCAAGTTTTAGCAGAGAACAGGTATAGTTCTATTTCTATAATTTTCTACACGATAAGGTTTACGTATACTATATCCTCTTCAGACCTCATTTATGGATTACACTAGGTTTGTTGTTTTTGTTGTTGGTGTATACATATGCAGCTATTAGCTGAGGGTATATCGAAAACAACCTCTTTACCTCTTAAAGATAGGGGTTACCAATACAACTCAAAACCCTATTGGTAGAATATTACACTATTGTTGTTGTGTTGTGTAGATGCAACCATTGCCGGTTCTGTCGAAAGCAACCTCTTTACTAAGTTTTGTGTACACTCTATCCTTTTACAGACCTCATCTGTGGGATTACATTGGATATGTAGTTGTTTGTTATATAGATGCAGTAATTAGTTGAGGGTCCATCGGAAATAACCTCTTTACTAAGGACTGCGTATACTGTACACTCTACCCTTTTCAGACCCCATTTGTGTGATTACACTGGGTATGTTGTTTTTTGTTGTATAGATGCAGCAATTAGCTGAAGGTCTATCGAAAATAACCTCTTCAATAAGGTCTGCATATACTATACTCTCTACCCTTTCCAGACCCCATTTATGTGATTACACCGGGTGGGTATGTTGTTGTTTGTTGTATAGATGCAGCAATTAGTAAGGGTCTATCGAAAATAACCTCGTTACTAAGGTTTGCGTATACTCTACCCTTAGCTTCCTAGATCCCTCCCCTTACTTTATTTGTGGGATTGCACTGGCTATGTTGTTGTATAGATGCAGCAATTTCACACACAGTATGTAGGCAGTTACTAATATTGAGGAAAAGTTAATTCTCTTTGACAGCAACAATTTCAGCAAAGTGATGATAGAGAAGATATGTCTGAATTCATGAATCAGAAGAGGAATGATGTACTCAGGTCTTCTAGTGAAACATCTTTGGAAGAAGTTTCTAAGCATACTACTACTCCGAGGAAGAAACAAAATTTACCTATCAAACCTTCATCCAAACCTCGGAACATAGTAGCATCCGTTCCAAGGTCTCCTATGAAGGTTTCCAGTAGTCCTTCCAGTCGGCGAAAATCTCAAGCTGAAAGTCCACTTGCACGATCCGTTCCAAACTTGTCTTACATGAGAAAGGAGAATGCTGAGCCTTATTCTCCAGCTGGTAAAACCACTCCCCGTGCACCTTATCCGCGTAGCAAATTACTGCACTCACAGTCCTTAAGAAAAAGCTCTGCTATGAATTCCGAGGGTGTTATCTTGGCAACTCTCAAATTTGATAAAGACAAAACGGAACAAAGTCCTAAGTGTGTAATGTCAGCACCTCGTAAATCTGTGAAGGACAAGATGAGACAGAGTCTAAATGATAAATTTTCCAACATTTTGGATACAAAGACTTCACTAAAGAAGGAAAAAGATGCTGATTTCAGCTCAAGAGGCGGTTTGACAGAGGCAAAGGGTTCTAACATTGCATCTACGTTTACACACAACGATGATGAGGATGTTGATGACATGGAATTGGATTCTGAGGACTCAACAGGTAGAGATGTGGACGAGTTTGAGAGCATGATATCTGCAGTTGAGGAAAATTTTGATATTGGAGCACCAAGCCCGAGTCATGAGACGGAGAAGAATTATTCTGGACCAGAAAATAGACGTTTACTGAGATCACTTTCTCAAGTTTGCTATGCTTCAGAAGCCGGATATTCGCCTTCTTCTGTGCCTTCCAACTTCTTAAATAGTCCTGTCTCACAGACTCATGAGGTGTCTGATGTTGATGCTTTTGACTCTCCTATGGGAAGTCCTACATCCTGGGATTCACATTTTCTGAGTTCAACACAGGCGGATGGTGCTACTAGAACGAGGAAGAAATGGGGAACGACCAATCAGAATCCAATCAATATCATAAAATCTTCTCAAAGTCTTTCACGCAAGGATAAGGCCAGAGGATTTAAGCGATTACTAAAGTTTGGGAGGAAAAACCCTGACGCAGATAGTCTGGTTAAAGACTGGATTGCTGCAACTACCTCTAAAGAAGATAATTGCGCAATAAATGGACATGATGGTCGCCATCGCTCTAATGATAGCTTCTACGAGGATGTGCTTTTAAATGAACGAGGTAAGATATGATGTTTTCTTTTGATTGATATTCAGTGGCTCCCCAAAAACTGATTAAACTTCATTTGTTAATTGTTTCAAATCGGATTTATCTGAATAATAACAAACAACAGTTGCAATAGTTTGTTGGTATACTTGAAGCATGTTTGGGAAGATTAAGTTAATGTTCTTTTTCTATTTTATTTTGCTTATGAGTACACCTTTTCATGTGATCTTATTATTCAGTAATTCTTTACAACTTTTGGTCTGAAGCTCATTGATTTTAATTAGCTGACTCAATGTACTTTATTTCTGGCAGTTCAATCCTTGCACAGGTCTATTGCGTCCCCTCCAGCTAACTTCAAACCGAGGGAGAATCATTTATCAGGAAGCTCAATAAAGGGTGAATATTTTGAATAAATCGGTGTTTTTCAACTTATTCCTCTATGTTTTCTGTTTTCCTATTATTCCGCCATTAGAAGAAACAATAGAGTAAGAGCCTCCATCGGCGTTGTTGACACTTAGCTTCATAACCTTTTAAAAAAAACCCAATTGTGCACAGCTCCCTCATTTATTTATGCAACTATCTGTATACTTCCTGTGTCAAAGTGTACTTCCCTATCTATTATTTCGTCCGTTTCAATTTGTTTGACTTACTTTCTTTTTAGTCCGTTTCGAAAAAGAAGCATCTTTCCTATTTTGACAACTCCTTAATTTTGACTTCTCACATGACACGTTTAAGATGACAAGATTAAAGGACATTTAGTAATATTTATCTTTAGTTTAAGACCACCAAGATTAGACGTTTCTTTACTTTCTTAAACTCCATGTTAAGACAAAACCAACCAAACAAATTGAAATGAAGGGAGAAGCATAAGAAGTACAGTTGCTTCATCATCATATTATGTCTTTCTTAATAGCCAATTCCTTAAAGATGTATTGCATTGATCAACAATGAAACAGTATATCATCAGATATTTAACAAATCTTGAACTTTTCAATATTTTGTATTGCACAAATCAATTTGAAGCCTGTATAAGTTTTTATGCTTCAGTAAATTCAATTATTTACATGTTAACTTCAATCTATTTACTCTTTCACAGCTCCAAGATCATTCTTTTCTTTGTCGTCATTCAGAAGCAAGGGAAAGGACTTGAAGCCAAGATAAGTCCCTCGAAGGACAAAGGTTCCAGCGATATATAAAACACATTGAATTGTCTTGATGACACACATTTTCAAATCATAATATTTTTTTTTCCAGCCAGAGCTTGAGGTATGTGTGTGCTATGTACAGCCTATAATCATCAAAATACACTTTATTTTAGTACATATATAGTACGTATCATTGGGCTCGTTAGGCCTTGCTTATGCTTTATTTCTTATTGTTTCGGTATATAAGATTGTTTATTGCCTTGAGAGAACAGTTCCCTCTGGCTTAATGTTAATGTAATATTGTTCTTCAACTTCAATGTAATACATGTATAGTACGTATCAAAGCTTGATTCTTTGTATATAATCACAAGTTGGGTTTATGTTCAGGATTGAGCCACCTTTTTCACGAGTAATCGTAGATCTAATATTTCATGTTACATGAAAAGAATGGTGGCTAAAGACTATATTGAATTAACGAGGACTTACCTGAACTCAACGTAACATGAGATTTGAATGCAGGAATTGGCGGGAGAATTAAGCTGGAGAGCTAGAGCACATGCAAAATTCTTGAAAGGTCAAAGTTTCAAGTAATTCAGCATGTGCCCTGCTTCTCCAGCTTAAATAATCGTCCACCTAACTATGACGAATCATCTGAATAGCACGAAACAAGGGCAGCTGACTCCAACTAAGTAGGGATCAACGCGTATACTATTTGCTTTAGAGAAGCATATTATCCTGGAAATGACACATCTCTATGAAAGTACTTATATATTTATAGGATTATACTTCACGAAAACAAATACTTTGTAATAGTACTTTTATGATTAGATGGTAGTTGATTTTGTGCTGATTTTGCTTGGGAAATATACTAGGCCAATGTAGCATATTTTAATCAAATATGCAGAAAAGGCCAAAGGAGAAATGAATATTTTGCTATGGTGATTGTTGAAGTTGGCAGCCAAAAAAGAAATCCATATATAATGAGATTTCTCGACCAAATGTAACCTAATTAAGAGTAGAAAGGCAAGGCAGGCCACCCACCCTATGGGTCTTAAAAGAGTTGTAGTAGTCCTCTTCGACTTTAGTTATTGTTCACTTGTGATTTATATTAAATTTGATTAACCATCTATACTATTTTCTCTACGTTCTTGATAGTTTGTCTTTGTTTCGATAAAGATTTTTAGAAGAACGATTAGATCCAAAAGTGTTGAAGGGAAAAGATACTAGAAGAAAGACTTGGGATAAACTCATGTGAGTTTAGAAATTCTAAGCAAGATATTATGAACATATTAGATGAATATGTGCCCTTCTTAAGATAATTCTAATTTTATGATCAAGTTCTTGACAAGTAATTTATAATTATTCAATTTGATTAAAAATTATGTTGAGGTACTAATGCATTGTGTAATCCCTTCAAAATAAATAAATAATCGAATTGAAGTCGTAAATCAAGTCCAGTAAAAAGTGTGTTTTTGCGCATTATTTAACATCATTTAGGTTTCGAACTCTAACCATTCTGTCAACTGTTGTCACATCTATCATCTCCATTATTATAATTATATCCATTGCTATCATCACTGACGCCCCACCGCCACTATCAATTACTATTACTATTGTGATCGATCCCTACTACTAATCACCTCCACAATCACAACCAACAACATCACTTACATATCATTAATCACCACATATTCATTTGACTAACACAACCGTCAATATTTTTTTAATCAAGTAATATTTATTTTATTAAATCTATATATTTTTAATATTCAATTACTTTTTATTTGAATGGAATATATTTAAGGAAAAATAAGTTACCCGATTTTGTTTGATTGGACATAATAATTACTTGGTCAGCACGTAACTGGTGTAATTGATAGGAGATAATTATTCACAGACAGAGGCTGTGAATTACTGATAATTACATGGTGTAATTACCAACTAATTACTTTTAATTTATTCTTTTTTTAAAAAAAATTCTATTTTGATTTTTTTTGTTTTTAATTTTTTTCACTTCTATTATTTCAAGTTCTATTTTTATTTTTTATTATTGTAAAAATTTCTACAAATTCATTTTTTTATTTTATATTATTATATTTATTTTCTTCTCGTTCTCAGCCTTAATTCACATTATTCAATGCGATTCTTTCGTATTATATATTTCTTTATTATGCTTATTTTCTCATTAACATAATTGTATTAGTATTCTAATTTTTAAATTAAAATAGAATTTATTGTTAAGTAAGGTTATAGACTTATGTTTGTTTTTTTAAAAAATAAAAAATAAAAATAAATCATGTTTATGTATGCTATGTTGAAATTTGCTATAAGAGTATTATGTTAATTTTTTTGTTTTGAATTTAGAACTTATGTTATATTTTTAGTTTAATTTGTTTTAGTAATATTGAATTGACATTGCAGTCATTTTTTAATTAAACCTGATAGAATATTTCTTTTGTCGAATATTTAATATTTTATGACATTATTTATATATTAATCTTTTTATCAAACATGCATTTCATGATATTCGTAAAAACTTCATATTTTTAGTTTTAATAATCAATTCAATTGAAATATATTAATTTAAAAAAATATAAATCAATAATTTTTTATAATATTAATTAAGAACATATGTTTATCAAGTAATAAATTTTCTAAAACGAATTTATCTTTAAAGAGTTAAATATTTAATTTAATATTATTTATAAAGTTTCTTAATTTTATAATATAATTTTAAATTTAATATAATTTTATGATTGTAATTGTACATCCATACAAAATATGCGTAATTACTAACATAATTACTAAATTATGTAATTATTAGACTAGTAATTACACCACTTCTAATTACTAGGTGGCTTTCCGGACCATCCTTAAATCATAATATTAATAATATTTAGACAACTCACTTGTTACTGAAAACATATAAAGCCAAAGTATTACTACGCAATTCCAATTCATTACAAGTTTCATTTTACTGAAACTGAGCGGAGTTCACGAGAAAGGCTATACAAAATCAAAATTCGAAGATCCAAAGTACAGTAGTTCACCAAACAAAGGGTAACTTGATAATTCTTTCAATTTATTTATGTAAAATGTGTTTGTTTGCCTATTTTATTCTCATAAAATTTCTGCTGTCACTTCAATTTTGTGGTGATTATTCCCAGGAAGCTTTTTTATAACACTCGGATTTGATTTTTTTTCACTTAGATTGCATAAATGTGTTGGTTGTAGATATGACTAGTATGCATAAATCCTGTGTTTAGTACTAGAATGAATTTCACCTTTAGCGTGCGTGCACCTTAGTTAATTTCACGGGATACCTGTCACCTCCACCAAGGAATCAACAATTATTTTTGTTTGGAGTTTGAATCTGGGACGATTCATGGTTCTTAGCACACTTCATTGATCATTAGGTCACGACCTTTGGATGTTAGAATGAAATTCACCTTAATAGAGCTGAATGGTATATTCAATAAATTAATAGTTCGGGACATGGGCGGAGCTGCAAAAAATTATGTTGTATATTTAAGGTTTTTTTATGTCGATTTTGAACCTCCTAAATGTAAGATTAGAGGTTGGCTTAGTGGTTGAGGGGTTCAGAACTCACCTTGAGGTTCCAAGTGCAAATCTTAGGCACTAATTTTGTTCCCGAAGAGAAATCCTGGATCTGCCACTAGTGGGGGATAGTTGATCGATTGGACAGCTCTTAGAGAAAAGTTTAACGGGGAAGGCATTGTGGGAAGAATCTATATTATGAAAACCTCTAATAGCTTCAACATTGCATGGATTGTTTATTGAAATTGGCTAGTTCAAACTTGTTAATATTGCATTGCAAGGGTCAAAGATATCCTTACCATTTTGAAAATTGCTCAAAAATGTCCTCGTTCTACCTATTGAGTTAATTTTCCTTTTGATATCATTTTTAGGCTTAAAATTCTCCCCCCATTAACGACACAATTATATGACTTCAAGCTCCCGCCCACGCCACTAGGTATCAATAGAACTTGTAAACACAGGCAAGATCATTTGATCCCAATTTGTGAAATACTTCATTTGATCATTTCCTAGCGTTCTTGGGAGTAGTACAAGAATCATACAATGGAATACTCACTTCACCCCGATTTGTTATGTCACTTTTTTCTTTAGATGATGGTATGCGTATTAATTGAAAAACGGGAATGATTTTATTGCTTAGCAGTTAGCTGTATTTATTTAAAATGAGTTTTGTGTAGAGCACAAATTCTGAATACTACACTTGGATTATTTTCTGAAACTTCATGCTTAAAGTGGACATTGGATTTCAGGACAATTATCACTTCTACGAACACGGAAGAAGCGAGAAATGGCAGAAGAAGTGAGCAACAAACAGGTCATTCTGAAACACTTTGTCACCAGTGACCTTAAGGAATCAGACATGGAATTCAAAAATACCACCATCAAATTGAATGTTCCAGAAGGTTGTAATGCTATGGTTTTGAGGAATCTTTTCTTGTCATGTGACCCTTACATGCGGTTACGCATGAAGAAATTTGAGGGTAGCTATATTGAGTCCTTCACTCCTGGCTCTCCTATCACAGGATATGGAGTGGCTAAAGTTTTGGAGTCTGGTGATTCGAACTTCCAGAAAGGTGACTTAGTTTTGGGAAGGACTGGATGGGAGGAGTATAGTATTGTAACAGCTACTCCGACTCTGTTTAAAATTCATGACAAGGATGTGCCTCTTTCCTACTATACAGGAATCCTCGGTATGCCTGGTCTCACAGCTTATGCTGGTTTTTACGAGGTTTGCTCCCCTAAGAAGGGAGAAACCGTCTTTGTTTCAGCTGCTTCTGGAGCAGTTGGTCAGCTTGTTGGGCAATTTGCAAAGATGTTGGGTTGCTATGTTGTCGGTAGTGCTGGAAGTAAAGAAAAGGTTGATCGGTTGAAGAGCACGTTTGGTTTTGATGAAGCTTTTAACTACAAAGAGGAGCAGGATTTAGACGCGGCTCTGAAGAAGTACCTCCCTGATGGAATCGACATCTACTTTGAGAACGTTGGAGGGAAGATGCTTGATGCAGTTCTTCTGAATATGAAAATCCATGGTCGTATTGCTGTGTGTGGGATGATCTCACAATACAACCTTGAGCAGACTGAAGGAGTGCACAACTTGTTCTGTCTCATCTCGAAACGAATCCGCATGGAAGGATTTCTTGTTCATGATTACTATCATCTTTACCCTAAGTATTTGGACATGATCATTCCGCAAATCAAGGCTGGTAAGGTTGTGTATGTGGAAGACATAGCTGAAGGCCTCGAAAGTGCTCCCAGTGCTCTTGTTGGTCTCTTCTCTGGTCGCAATATTGGAAAGCAAGTTGTGATGGTTTCGCGTGAATGATTGTTTAGATGGTGGTTAATGTGCCAGTTCTTGTAAATGAAACTCTGATGCAGATTTAGTAGAGTTATTTGTGTTTGTGGGTGGGGTATTTCGGGAACAACTTCTCTCTAACTTCATGAGGTAGTGGTAACTGGTAACGTCTTTCTGATCTCACTTGTGGGATTTCAATGGCTATGTTGTTGTATTTGTGTTTGCAATTAGGGAACTTTTAGATTTCATGATTTTGCTTAATGCATATATATGTTGTCTGCTTCGAGCAAAAATAGAATAGTCTGCCCCCTCTTTCATATAGAGACTAAATTTCAATCTTCCAAGTTCCAAGAACCTCAATTTTTAACTTCAAAAACTGTTTTTTTTCTTCAACTTCAAATTGATTATTAGTTCAAATGGAGCCTAAACATTCCACACGAGTCATTAATAAACGAACAGCAATATATCAGTAAAATTCATAAGTGAAATCTGGCGAGGATAGAAACAGAAAAATTATTTTTGAATAAACAATAAAATATATTTGTTTTTTTTACTTTTTGTTGGTACAAATATATCTTTTTTCTTGACATTGTGAAATATGTTGAGTGAAGTTACGTTAATATCTTACCTCGTCTTTGTTTACCGAGATTTTACACAAAAGTTTTGTAAAATTGATGATAATATCACTATCCAAAATTAAAATATCAATGAGAGGGTATTTTAAACCAAATCATAAACACCCTAAGTAGGATTATCAAAATTTAAAAATATAAGTGAGATAAGCATAATAATTTCAAAAATAAAATTTTTAAATAATTCATATCGCATGTATAATTTAAGATATTAACAAATTTTTATTATTTTATTCATCATCTATACTAAATTAAATATTTCATATAAAAAATATACGTACTTTTGAAGACGGGTATTTACCCAATTCCCTGAATCCGATCCCAATTCCCATTCATTACAACCTTCCTTTCGCTGTAACCGATCGGAGTTCACGAGAGGTTGATACAAAATCGGAAACCGGCGATCGGGAGTTCAACAGATCAACCAACAAAGGCTGCACCGACGTGAATGATAGGTGCGTAATTTGATAGACCGACATAACTCTCTCAATTTGTTTATGTAAAATATGCTTGTTTTCCTTTTGTGTTCTCATGCAATTCCCTCTGTATGTTTAGGTTACTTTTATTTTGTGATGAATATCCGCGACATTTGATAGAAAATTAATTTTAATCGGCTTTTAGCTCAGATTTGATATGTTCGGTTAGATTGCATAACGGTGTTAGCTATGGATGACTAGTAGGAAAAATTCTGTGTTTCCACATTCCACTACTGGAATGAAAATAATAATCCTAAATTTGCCCAAATGAGCAAATTATTTAGTATCAGAATGAAATGCACCTGAATAGAGCTGAATTGTGTATTCGACAAATTCACAGTCGGTTCCAGCTGATGTGGAATTGAAGTATAGTTGATGATTAAGCATCTCTTTAGAGTAAGAAGTTCTAGGGGAAGGCGTTGCGGGAAAAATCTTTTCTATAAAGATCTGTGCTTCAACATTGGATGGACCCATGAGACCCTCTATATTATCTGTTGAAATTGATTACTTGAGCAATGCCTAGTTGTTGATGTTATCGTTATAATCCGTAAGGTAGCATACTTTTGCATTGATCAGGGCATAATACATAAGTTGATATCATTTGTGGGCCTGTGTTATATATAGAGCAGGAATGAGATGAATACCACTAGAATATGGTTGGACTGTAGAGGCTGACGACTAAACCTAAAGATATGTAGTGCTAAATTGATTGAAAAGCATTTGCTTCTTTTTGCATTCTTCACGTTTGAATGGCTCTAATTGATGCACTATTTTGTCTTCGTTGCCTTCCCAGGATCAAGTTTTCTATTCATCATCTGAAGCTCTATAACTTGAGCACTTGGGTACATCTATCTTGGAGTTGGTACTTTTCATGGCGATTCTTTGTTGCCTTGAAGAACTTGTACATTGAATAGTGATTAAGGAAGTCACATGCTTTACAATTTTTGAGTGACGCACTTGGTGCAAACGTAAATTTTCTGAAACATATGCTTAAAGTCTAAATCAGATCTCAGGCTGATTATCAAACAAGATTAAAATAGGAGAAACTTCCGAATGCGAGTTAAAAAACTTTAGTGTAGAGGACAAACTTTCTGAGAAACAACTTAATTAATAAAGATACTCTCTGTCTCTCTCACCTTCTCACTCATATACACCCTTAAGTAGGCATTGAGCTGAGAACTCTTTGAGTATACATGTAAACTAGGAACTTTATGTCCAATAAGTCATTGATCCAAGGTTTTGGAATTAGCAGCCTAAAAGCATGGAAAATTGGTAGTTTCTATGTATTCAAACTATATGTTTGTTAACTTCTACCTTTTTTTGGTTGCTTGTAGTTGTTTGCTTGTTTAAGGAAGATGGTGAAGTTGACTATGATTGCTCGTGTGACGGATGGCCTTCCATTAGCTGAGGGGCTGGATGATAGCCGTGATGTTCCAGATGCAGATTACTACAAACAGCAAGTGAAGTCCTTATTCAAGAATCTTTCTATGGGCCATAATGAGGCATCAAGGATGTCCATTGAAAGTGGACCTTACATTTTCCAGTATCCTCTTATTGTTTCCATATTGTTTTTATTTTTACATTCACAGTACTATTTACATCTCTTCGGATGCTAAATGGAATTTTTTCTAAATAATTAGTAATAACTTCTTTGTTCAACAAGATGACTGCAAGGTAAGTAAGTTCATGCACTTACTGGTCTTTTCCTAGTAGCCTCACTGAGTTACCTATTCTCTAACTATGATTCCTCAATTTTTCCTCTCAAGGAAAGAAAAAGCTTTCTTTACAAACTTGGTGAATCTTTCTTCTTTTAGTTTTGGGGGCGGGGGCGGAGTTGTTAGGAACTTCTTGAACATTCAGTTGGCCCTCTTTCTGCTCTTCTGCCAACTTGTAATGAGTCATCATCGCAATTATATGTTGAAACAGTCTACAGAGTTTTTCAATTTGAAGATTCCATTTAGGATGCCTATCAAAAGAAGCAAATCTGTGTTGTAGTTTTATTTTTGTAATTTAAAGAAAACTCTATGATGGACTCTGTTGTTCTTATAGTTGTGAGTTTCGGGGAACTAGGATCAGGTACTAAACAATTAATGAGGTTTCCTCCAGCTTAATTCTTTTGATAAGTTAAATTCCTATATTGGATGTATAGATGGTGATAAATATGGAAGATGCAGTAGAAAATAAAACCAACAAAAGGAACAAAAAAGAAGTTTGTCGGTATCGCTTATGCAGATCTATTTCTTTTGTCTGCTTAGTTGCTTCTCCACTTGATATGCATTTAATATGTTTTATAAGCACTTGTTACTAATTCTTTTCTGGATTTATGGATAGCACCAAAAGACAAGGGATGCATAGTCTAGTGGAAAGGGCCTCCAACTTTAATCATGAGCTTGGAGGTTCGGGTCACCAAGGGAGCACTGTGGGAACCACTGTTTATCTCCTGGGATGGAGGATCAGGAGTCATAATACCCAAAAGAAAATAACCAAGAGAATAATAAATATCACTAAGCTTTTATTAAAATTCAGGACCACCGGAATGTGAAATCTTTGGGATGATGTGGGTTGTGACTTTCCAAGTTTTCTTTATTGCTGCTGCTATTTCATTTGCTTACTTTCTAAATCACCACTAGCTCTACTTTGTGTCCTCCCAACCCAATTGTAAATGTGCCTTATGGGAAACCGGAAATGTGAATGTACTGTTCTCTTAACCCAAGTTCTCAGCTATATAATTGAAGGGCGCGTTTGCTATCTGACAATGTGTGATCGCTCTTATCCAAAGAAACTTGCCTTTCAGTACCTAGAAGACCTTAAGAATGAGTTTGAGCATGTCAATGGGAGTCAAATTGAAACTGCTGCTAGACCTTATGCCTTTATCAAATTTGGTAAGCATTTTCCATCACACTGTCCTTTTCTGATTTTCCAATTTCCTTTTGTTAAAAACTAATTTTCTGTTCTTCCAATATATTATTTTCCCTATTTTAAAAGATACATTCATACAGAAGACGAAGAAACTGTACCAGGATACCAGAACTCAACGCAATGTTGCAAAGTTGAATGATGAACTTTATGAAGTTCATCAGATAATGACTCGAAATGTACAAGAAGTTCTTGGTGTTGGTGAAAAATTGGACCGTAAGTTTCTCATTCCAACATTTTTCTGAGCTCTTTATCAGTAAATCTTTTGCAAATTCATTTAAAATGATTGGTATGTTTCATGTCAGCCTGTTGAATTAAAGTTAGGATTGCTTAGGTCAGAATTGAGCCCCTTATACCTGGAGAAACTTAGTATCATCTAGTGCATGTAAGTTATCAAGATGATCTGTCTACTAGAAGCTGGTGGCAACTATGCACTTGTATGCCTCTTTTTGTTGTATGATTCGAAGGTGTAACATGTGGTAGTTGTGAGATGAGATTTTCTCTTGAAAGTCTTTATACAAAGAACAAGTTGATTTTGGATCAAATGCTGAGACAAGCTATGCTGCAGCATTCACCTGTGCACAGATAAAATTAAGCTGAGTCAGTTGTGATATGAATTTCCAACCACTGGTGACTCATAGCTTTGATATAGATCGGCAGTTATACTCTAATTATATGGTTACCCTTCTGTTTTCACCCTTCTTGTGCATTGATTTAGTATCATGTAATTTTTTTCACGGTTAGTGACCTGATTGTTTAAACATCTAATTCTGCAGAGGTCAGTCAGATGTCCAGCCGCTTGACATCAGAATCCCGCATATATGCTGATAAGGCAAGAGATTTGAATCGTCAGGTTAGTGTCATTTGTTTTTCAAGATGATGCACTTAAATTCTTGTGTGGTATTGTTGCTTCTACCTTCTGAGTGTCGGGAATGTGAAGTGGTGCCATACACAGATCTGAAGGAACATGAAATTTGCTGTTCATTCTCTTAAGTTCTCTTGCGCTTGCATGTTCTTTTTTTGGGCGGTGGGGGCATCGATATTGTTTAGAAAATTATATAAGCTGCTCAAACAATGTTCATTGGCATTTTTAGAACCCTACCATGTGTGAAGATTATAGAGCTTGACTGGTTCTACTGAGTGAGTGATGACAGTGTGAGAATGTTTTCTATTCTTGAAGAGATACTTGAATGAACACCCAAGGGTGTAGTTTAGTGGTCAATGAGGTAGGTTGAGAACGGTGAGGTCTCAGGTTCAAATCCTTGGTGGACTATTTGTGCTGAAGGCTATGATAAATCAACATGTGAATGCAAGACTCATGCCTTATTCTAAGCTTGGGTGTCTTAGACCCAGACACTGAGAAAGACGAGTAACCATGATATATCAGATGGCTGAGCTTTCTGTCACTCTTTTTCGCGTTATGTACATGCATTTAGTCTGATGTTTGAACTTAAAATCTGTTTGGTGACTGATCCATTTCTTCATGACTCAAGGCTCTGATACGGAAGTGGGCTCCTGTTGCTATTGTCATTGGAGTTGTTAGTCTTCTCTTCTGGGCTAAAAGCAAGATTTGGTGATGCTGCCATCAAATGTACAGCTTAGAAATGATGTTACTCTAGCATCGGTCAGTGGGCAACTGACAAGACCACAGTGGCCTTAGTTTTCTGAGGATGGGGAGATTGAAGAAATGTCAGTTTGATAATGTAGAACAGGGGATGTGAACCATGACGACCGAATGTTGCTAATACTTGAGAAATGATATTTAATATGAATCCCAGCATGTACTTTTCTTGATAATCAACCACAAAACTTGCCTTCCGATAGGTATTTGTAATTCTGAAATGCTGTTTTAGCTACTTTAGTATATGTTTGTAAATTACAGTGGTAGCCTCATTCGTTGTCTACTATTTTGATTCATTCCGTAGAAGTGCATGAACATAAATTCTGAATATGTTACCAAATTAGACCTGTCATTCCAAACTTGGGCAAAACCTATTTGAAATTTGTAGCTCTGGCTTTTGTTACATCAAACTAGGATTTTTTTTTTGGAAAATTTTTCAAAATGTCAATATTTTAGCATTTAAGAGGACTCATTAGCAACAACTTCAATATTTAGTAAAAATGTCATTTTAGTTTGTTATGTATGTTTTTATTATTTATTTTTATTTAAAGAATATAATTATTTAATAACAAAAAGGAGAAAATTAAGGGGGGAAATATTTCAAAAAAAGACAAGCATCCTTAAGTTTTCTGAACTTAGGCCCGTTTGGATGGGCTTAATAAAAGCAACTTTAAAAAAGTACTTTTGAAAGTGCTGAAACTTATTTTTAAAATAAACAGTTATGCGTTTGGATAAAAGTATTGAAGTTAAAAAAAAAAGTTGTTGATGTGTTTGGCAAATAAGTGCTGATAAACAGCCTTTTAAATCAAATGTCTGAAATAGCCTTAAAAATTGTTAACATAATAAAAGTTAATTAATTTATATTTTACAGCCATAAATAATTATATTTTGCTATCATTCACATATTTCTTTCTCATCACAAGTTATTTATAAGAGGAATATAAACTTATTATAGATTTTAAAGATATATAATTTGAATAGATCAAAGAACGATTTAAGATTTTATTTTAGTTTCATCCTTAGGTAATAATAATTGTCTATCGTTCACATATTTCTTTATTATCACAAATTATTTATAACAGAAATATAAATTTTTATTTAAGTTATATGTGCAACTTATTTTACATTTTAATAATATATAATTTGAATAGATCGCTTGAAAGATTTAAGATTTATTTTATTTTCATTCATTAGTAATAGTAATTGTCTATCATCCACACGTGAAAAGGGAAAAATAGAAGAAAGAGATGTTAGAGTTATGTGGGTAATTTGGAGATTGTATAAAAATATTAAGGGTAAAAAGGTAAAAATGTGGTCAGCTGAAAACATCTTATAAGCTGGAAAAAAAATACCCCTACCCCAGCTTTTAACTTTTGGCTTAAAATAAGTTTTTTTTTAAACTTAAAATAAGTTATTTTGAGGATTGCCAAACAGCTAAATAAGTCAAAAATAAGTTTTTAAGTCAGTTTGACCAGCTTTTAAGCTGAGCCAAACATGCTCTTATCTTAAAGTAGTCAAATTTACAATATTTATAAATAATTGGGGTCATTTAGAGCGAATTAGAAAAAACAATAGATGTATTATCTTTGTGGATTATTATTTACTAGTATCTTATTTGGTATTCTTTTTCAATCCATATATAACTAATGCGAGCATATTATAGGCTGTTTGGTAATGCAAAGATTTTAAATGCATGCATTATCATAATTAAAGATACAATTATTTCTTAAAATTTATTACACGTCCATTTCATCATATTTGGTGGAAGGTATTTTTGTAAATAAATATTTTTCTTAAAATTATGTAATGCATGTTATTTTTAATACGTCAAATCAAATACGATATAGTCTAAGCATAACTAATACTCCCTCCGTTAACAATAATTATTCGTTATACTAAAAATAATTTATCCAACAATACTTGTCCAATTTAGAAAATCAAGGAATAATTTACCTTTTATATGTATTTTACCATTAGTATTTAATTTATCTTCTAACATATTAAATTTAATAAAGTCAAAATATAATATATTTTTTCTATTATTTATTATTTCTCAAGGGAGTATATTCAACGGTATACTGTTTTAATATAGGTCCTAAAATTGGGTATCTGTGCACTTTGAGCCTCAAGTCTCTGATTCAGCCATTCAGGACTTTATTATTGCCAATAAACAGTCCAATAAAGAGTACAAATTTTGAGAACACAATTCACTCAACAACGGTAATATTTCAATTTAAAACCCTATTTGAAATCAACAATCAACAGAGAGCTCTTCAATCATCATCCTCCAGAAATCAAAATAATGGATTCAGCAGAGCAGCCGTACGATGTATCGGAAAGTGATAGCGACTACGATTCCGATGATTCGCAAGATGATCCAACTTTTGATCTTCTTGAGGAGACACAATCCTCACTTTCAAAACTCTCAATCAAAAAACAGAAATCTATGGATATTATGTCTGTCAGGTACAATCTTTGATTCGATTCGATTCTCCAAAAAGAGACATACTAGTTTTTTCAATTTCGCCCAAAGAAATGGAAGTGAGATGTTGATTTTTCGCGTTGTTGTGAAATGTAGGCGGAATGTTTCTAAGGCTTTGGAAGATTGCGTTGAGGAAGAGAAGGATCTGGAGGAGGTAGTGATAGTTCCAGAGCTTGATGAGAAGGATAAAAAAAGCTATGAAACTGTTCAGAAGATAATCAAAGGTTTCAATAACATTGTTTTTTTTTTTAATTTACATGTTGATATGGTAGTTTTCAATCTTGGTGATTGTTATTGGTTCTTTTTTTCTGACATCCGAAACTCACTAGTCCAACTAATTCAGATTTGCATGGCGTATGAGTCAATTAAGGAGGAAGAGCTCCCCATTTGCGGAGTGTGATTTTCACTAAGGGGGTTCGAAATATAAAACATCTAACACACGAAAAGACCAAAGGAGTTCAACCTATATTATATATTCGTGAAAGATAATTTTATATAGACGGAGTAAATTTTTGTCCTTGGCCCTTACTAATTCCACCCCTGGAACTCCCTATGTAAACTTCCAATCTTTAGAATAAGAGAAAAATTTTCAGTATTTTTCTTGCTGTATGACATACAAGGCTTTGTAGTGATTGTTACTGCCTATATTTATCTTCTCATTTTCCGAAAGGTTACAATGATTGAATCCTTATTTTTGTCTCTGCTTCTACTTGGTGGCAGCTGGTCAGATTGAGAAATTGAAAGTGGAGCAATGCAAGGTTTACCTAAGGAAACATGGGCTGAGATTGACGGGTACCAAAGATACACTTATTCAGCGCATCAAAGAGCACACAGAGTAATTTCCCAGTTTCAGTTTATTCAGCTTTTAATTTTGTAATGATCAGAACTTCTGAACTTAATGCAAATTCTATTGTATTTCAGCATCCTCAATGGTCGTGGAGAGGAAAAGTATCCCCCATCTAGTTTTGTATTGAACTGCAAAGGTATAGTTTTTTTCCCTATGTATAGAGTATTTAAGTGGATATAGTTTTATTGTAGCAAACATTTATGATCGTTAGCCCCTTAAGAATAACCAAGTCAAGTTTATCTAACTGCTGAAAAGTGTCATAGCTTTCACCTTGCGTCTGTGTTTCTGGTGGAACCTAGCATTATAATTTCAGCAATGAATTAGAACTTTCTGGACATGTCATTTTCATCTTCACTTTTTGTATTATGCAGGGGATGCGTGCACTGGGGATGTTGTTATGTTTGAACAAAATGTATATGAAATGTAAGCTTGTAACTTTAACAAGTGGTAGTAGCTTGTAACTTTAACAAGTGGTAGTAAGCATCTTTAGGTCTTCTTTTATGCACTTCTAAAGGCTGTGAATAACTAGTGGCAGATGTGCCATGTATTATTCACTTCAGTTCCCTATTGGACATATTGGGGAAGCAGCAGTATGCGTGCGTTTACTTAGCAGGTGTATGATTGTGGTTCATCAGGTTCAGCATTGCATCCAGGAGTGCTACTGGCCCTCCCTGTGGGACAAGAATAGTAGCAGGGCGGATTGTGAAAGAGAGCTATGGTGCTAAAAAGCAGCAACATACCTTTACGGTGAGCTTTTAAAAGCAATCAATTTAGATTGAACTCTTGGGAACAAGAAGAGGAATGAGAAGTTATTTTCAACTTAATTTTTTTGTAGATAACAGCAATTATTTGACTTAACCTTTTCTGTTTCCGTTTCTTCTTTTTATTTGGCTTCGATGTGCGTACACTTCTTGCATTGTTTCATATTATTTTGTTTCATATAAGATTCTTTTTACTGTTGGTCAGGTTGAGGTATTGTGGAGTAAAGGGGAAAAACCGCTGCCTCCACTGCATCCTCTCCTCATTAAGGGTAGAAACCTCTATAGATTAAAAACATTGCGACAGGTCTGCTGAATAGTAATAAGAATTTTCTAGTACTTGTACTTATTATTCCTGCAACATATGCTAATTAATCATATATTACATTTGAAGAAATGGGACGATGAAGCAGAACGGCAGAAAATTTTATCAGAAAAGCATGCCAGAGGTTCTGTTGCTCGGTCTAGCAGGGAAACACGTGTCCAAGAGAAGGAAATGCGAAAGATGCGAAGGGAAAATAGGTTTACCATTATAATTTTGGTCATTATAGGAAGCAGATTGATAGAATGAACTTATGAAATAAACCAACTTCACTTGATTATGAACATTTGAATCAATGTTTGTCTAAATATCTCAGGGTAAGCACAGATTACAAGGAGAAGAAAACAGTAGCTGAGGGTAAAGGGAAACAACTGCATTCTCGCTCGATGAACTCCTTAAACGAGAATGATCAGCGTCAGGTAGAAGTGGTGTACAACAGCCAAAAAGATGAACAAAAGCAATTCAGAAATTATACAAATGTCGTAATACAGGAAAATGTCTACCCTAGAGAAAATAGGCCAGAAGAAAGGCCTAATCAGAGGCAGCCTTTGACTAATGTGAACCTGAATGATCCTAGTTCTAACAGAGAGAAGCATAACTCACATATGCATAGGCATATGCCAATGTGGAGGGGCTCTAGCTATGGAGGTAACACATACTATTATGACATTCCAACATGGAGGGGCTATAGCGATGGAAGTTACAACAACTGCAATACTAGTAGAAGTCCATTAGAAGGACATAGTCATATGTATACAGGAGGTCATGGTCATTCACAAAATATGAACAATAAATCTCCACAAAGAACTGGTAATTGGCAAGCAAGGAATGGAAAGCGTCCAATTCAAGGACAGCGCGAGGAACAAAAGAAGCTTTGCCACTTTTATGCTCAAGGAAGATGCTACTATGGGCTAAGTTGCAAGTACTTGCA